GGAAGGGGGGGGGGGGGGGGGGGGGGGGGAGAAAGCAGAGAGCAGTAACGTTAAATAAATAAGTAAATAAAGATCGAGGAAAGGCGGCGCGGAGGGTGGAGAATCGTCTCGCGCCCAAGATCGCCCCGTGTTCTGAAAGCCAAAAAAAGGAAAAGGGGGGCGGATGAGGGAGGGAGGGAGGGGGAAAGGGGTCTTTGGATGGAAAAAAGAGAGCGAAAGGTGGGATGCGGCGAAGGCGCGCCGGGAGGAGGGAGCGAGCGAGCGAGAGCCAGAGAGAGCAAAAGGCTGCTACCGATTTTGTCCTGGGGGGCTTCGATCCGGCAGCGATGCCGCAGTCAGGGGGCCGAAAGGCGGCTGCCTGGCCGTCGGTCGGTCGGTCGGTCGGTGCCCCCACCCCACCCCCGCCTCGCTCTCCTTCCACTTCTCTCTTTCTCTCTCGGTCACTCGCTCACCCGTTCACACACCATGCACAGAGCGCACAGACACGTACACACACGCGCGCGCACACACACACACACACACCCCGGCTGGCAGGCACAGGGCGCCCCCGCTGCCGGATCCCGCTCGATCACGGGATCGGCTTGGCTGGGCACTGACGAGGGGCGCCAGGCGACTCCACGATCGCCCCAGCCCAGCCTCCAGCAAGCCCGGCTCCCTGCAGCTGGCCGTGATGTCAGAGGGACCACTCTTAAAGGGACAGGACGCCCGGCCAAGGCGCGGGGTAAGGGGTGGGGGACCGGACGGAAAGTCGGGGCTGGCCAGCTGGAGGGCGCGGGGGGGGGGAGACCCACGCTTTGTGTGGCACGCACGCACACACAAACACACACACACACACACACGCAGAGGCAAACGCGCACCGCAACCAGAAAGGAAGGAAGGCGCTGCAATTAGCCCTTGCTCCCGATTTCGACCCCTGGCTAATGTCCCTCCTCCGGGTCGAGAGACGGGTGCGTAAATGTGGTCGATCCGAATCGACGTCCGCGACATTTCACACAACAGACGTCCCTCAACGCTCGGTGCGCGCCCTGGTTTGAGATCCTCACCCCGGCGAGCTGGGATCGGCCACTTAAGGATGCCAGCCTCCCTCCCACTGATGGGACAAACGCCACTGTAGCATCTGGTGCTTGTTTGTTAATTTAAAAAGGGGGGGGAGAGAGAAAGGAAAGTCAATAAGGGTACGCAGTCCAATGCTGTTGGGACAATGCTCCATAAATACCGTTAAGTAAGAATGTTCCTAACAGATACAAAATGCATGATTGGTTTATTGATTGATTGAAATATAGAACAAGGCGCCTTTTAGCTCACAGACTTCAAAGGCAATGGGCAGCAAATTGAAAGGATTTGAAACACAGCAGTCTGGGAAAAGCCCAAGAGAGCAGACTTAACTATCCGCCAGCCATAAAAAACTGAATGGAACCTAAATAAATAAAAACAAACAAACAAACAAACAACCACCTTTACTTTCCCTCTGGAACTATAATTAGGAGAAAGGAGCCAGTATAATGTCCCTAAAAAGGTTACAAACCAGAACTCAGTTCCTCGATTTGATATAGCCTCTTGTCATCAGAGATAAAAGCAACAGTTGTAGTCCAGATGAAGAACTCTCTCTGGCCTTGAAGATCACAAATGCAAAGTTACTGATCTACTGCAAGCAGTTGAAACAGTGAAGAGAATTCCTAGGACTGGTCTTTGAGAAGTGGGAATGAGAGCATGGTATTACGCTAATACAATAAAAATTGCATGCCATAAAGTCAATTTTCATGCATGGCAACTATTTCAGAGGTTTTCTAGGTATAGAATCTCAGAAGTGGTTTATCATTCCCTTCTTCTGCAGGTGCCCTGGGACTGTGCAGCTTGCCCAAGGCCACCCAGGGTGGCTTTTCTGCTGGGAGGCACAGTGGGGAACTGAACTCTCAACCTCCAGCTCCACTGCCAGAAACAGCCAGCTGGTGGTACGCTGGAAAGTTAAAAATCCAGGAATCCTGAAATGGGCCAATGTAGGAGATTGGTTATTTGACTTCTCAGAAAGTATGAAGAAAGTAAATGAGTGAGTAGTGGAAAGAAGCTGGGAGATAAGATCCTTGGATTATGGCTGAAGGTGCAGCGGGAGGATAGAGGAAGATTAACCCTCTAAATGTAAGACAAGCCAAAGCCCATCTAGTGCCGGGCTGTGTAATATGAGACCATACGACCACAAGCAGTCTTCATCCTGACTTCAAAAACCAAGCCGTCTCCATGCTATCCCTCCAAAATCTGAAAAGATTGTGATTTGAACTGCAAATCTGAGATTGCCCCAGCCAGACTTGCTCGGAAGGGCTGTGGTCTGAAACAGTAACTCTGGTATGATCCAGCTGTCACGTGGTTGGCAACCTGCCAGGAGGAGAGGAAAAGAGAAGGGGGGTGCTGGGCAGGGGGAAAGAGATAGGGAGAATGGGTGGCAATAACAGAAAAGAAGGGGTAGCCAACAATCACTTGGGCTTTGACTTCAGTCCCCCCCCCCAAAAAATTGAAGACATTGGCTGGCTGAGACAAAGCAGGAAGATGACAACTCCGCTCTTCATGTCACAGTCCTCAAAGGCAGGGCAAATTCAGGCAGGATCTCCCAGGAGTCTCTCTGTAAAAGCTGAAGAAGAAGAAGAAAAGAGGAGGAGAAGGAGGAGGAGGAGAAGTTTCTGTCCTTTTAGTATAGCTGAAATCTGCTTTCTGAAATTGCTGCTTTATCTTATCTAATGGTAGGGCTGGCCTTTCCACCAACCAATTACTTTGTTGTTGTTGTTTAGTCATTTAGTCGTGTCTGACTCTTTGTGACCCCATGGACCAGAGCATGCCAGGCCCTCCTGTCTTCCACTGCCTGCCAGAGTTGGGTCAAATTCATATTGGTAGCTTCGATGACACTGTCCAACCATCTCATCCTCTGTCGTCCCCTTCTCCTCTTGCCATCACACTTTCCCAACATCAGGGTCTTTTCCAGGGAATCTTCTCTTCTCATGAGATGGCCAAAGTCTTGGAGCCTCAGCTTCAGGATCTGTCCTTCCAGTGAGCACTCAGGGTTGATTTCCTTCAGAATGCATAGGTTTGTTCTCCTTGCAGTTCAGGGGACTCTCAAGAGTCTCCTCCAGCACCACAATTCAAAAGCATCAATTCTTCGGCGGTCAGCCTTCTTTATGGTCCAGCTCTCACTTCCATACATCACCACTGGAAAAACCATAGCTTTGGCTATGCGGACTTTTGTTGGCAAGGTAAAGGAGTTTCTTTACCCTTGGGTCTGGTTCCTGTACTGCACAGCTTGTTGTCTTTGGGAAACGAGCAGAGGGCCTTGGGCCTTGGCCCCTCCCACAGAACCGATTTACCTCCCTTCCGCCTGGAAGCTTCCTTTTCACTGTTGACAGAGCTCTTCTCCACCAATTTCCCCAAGACCTCTTTAAAACATCACATGGAGGTCTCTGAGGGATCCCTGCCTAGATCTGACTTTGAATATATTTTGGGAACCAGGGTTCTTGGGTTCTTTGTTTGGAGGAGTGATTTAAAAAAAGGCCTCTTGGGAACTTGCACAGAACTTAGGAACGTTGTTGTTGTTGTTGTTTTGCAATCCAAAAACATAATTTTCTAAGCTTAAAATTTCTGCCAAAGGAAAGGATAGGTTCTACTGAGTTGTACCAGTGCAGCCAGGAAGAATTATTGTGTCATACAGCAGTAAAGAGGTCTGTATCCACCAGAACCTGTTTGTTAATTTAAAGTGGGGGAAGTACAGTATTGCTAACAGAAACTGAACTGTAGCAGCCAGCAGGGTTGAGAGAAATGAGAAGTCATAGGGGACATGAGGGAAATAATGGGGTGCTGTATCCCAGGGAGGAACAGTTGTCATGCTTGAAGGAAAGAGATCCATTGGAAAACCAGGATTAACCACCAGGTCAGAGAATAAAGGCTGCAGAAGGATGATAGAGGGGAAGCTATTGAAATACTTTGCACCAGTAGCAGAAGTCTCTGATTGTGTTCATGAGTACACAGGGTATAATTTCTAAAAAGAGAGGCAGCACAGCTGAACGCTGGATCTAGTTATGTCCCTCTAATCCCATATTTCTGGAAGCCAGGGTTATTCTACAATGGGGGTCCCACACTTGGCATATGCTCAGAGGTACCTTAACTTGATGGGCTATGAGTACCTGTTCAACTTCTGCTGCCGTTCTGTTGTGAAAGATCCAGAAGGTTTGATGGCTAGGAAGAAAGAAAGTGGCAACATTACAGTCCAAGCACCTTCTACCACCACTGGACAACTCCTAGAAAAAAAGTCTGAAAAAGACAAAGTGTCCCAATCCTGATTTCTACCCTCGTTCTCTCCAAGTAACCAAATCTGTTTTTCCTGTCCCATTCCAGAACTGGGCCCCAGTGGCATCAGGTGCTGCAGAAACACCAAGCAGCACTCATTTCTTGCCTCAA